CCTCTTCCAAAGACTTGAGGACAGAATATTCTGCATGTAGCCCAGAGTATTCTGGCTCCAAAGTTGCCCCAATAGCTCCCCTTACCTGGACACCGGAGTGATGCAGGGCAGCTGTTTGCATGTGCCAGCACTGGCTGGAGTTGGTTTCTTTGAGATTGAAAATAAGCATCCATTACTTGGCTGAGTGCCTTATTCTGACAAGGGTGAGGGGCTTTGCTGACCGGCCCAAAGGGCCAGCCTGGGGTGGAGTTTGGATGGAGCAGCCACACGCCGGCTGCCCCAACCCCAGCCTGACGCTGTCCTGATGCTATCACGGCACGCAGTGTCAGGATGCCCTACTGGAGCAGCGTGCAAACATGCTGTGCCGAAAGGGTGTGGAAGAGCCACAGCGCCGGCTCTTAGGGCAGCCTTTTGCCGCCCCTAAAAGGAGCAGCATGATAGATTTGTTTTAGGATGGCCAGAAGGCATACAATAACAGAGTTGGAAGGGTTCCCCAGAAGCATGGAGTCCAACCCCATTCTCAATGCAAGATCTCCAGCTACAGCATCCCGAACAGGTCCCAGTCCATCCTCTTTTTGAAGATATCCAGAGAAGAATATCCCATCATATCCTGAAGTCATTGGTTCCATTGCTGAACTGCTTCTACCATCAAGAAATTCCTTCGAATGTTAAATTGAAATCTACCTTCCTGCATCTTAAACAAAACTTCCAGCATCGGCTATACACTTTGCTAATTCTCTTTGCCTTCTGTAGTCTGTCTTCCTGCCTCTGATATATTTAAGCTGACTATAAGTACCATTTTAAATAGTACCGGATTTTTTTATATTTCCCGACCTTCTTGTCATTTTAATACAAATGTCAATTTTGTCCCGTTTTCAATAAGAATGCCCCGTGGTGTTGCAAAAATGATTCAAAGACCTTTGTTTCAAATTGTGGTTGTCAAAAAAAACCCAAAATTGTGTCACGGAGTGTGAGATGTTTTATGATAAGGTTTTGCAAGACCGAAATTTGCTGTGTAAGATTACTTCATCAGAGAAATATTCATGGCACGATTGTGGTGAAATCCAGTCCCCCTCTACATCTCCCTAAATTTTTGTACGAGTTCTACCACTGAATAATAATAGCTCAATATATTCATGTGAATAAAACTTTTTTTAAATAATTTTATTGATTAAAAAGAAAACTGTTCACACACATACAATCACACAACATCAATTGCAAATTATGCATTTCTAAAAAAGAATTAATCAAGTAATATCCAAAAAGCAAATAAAGCCTAATATAGTTGTATAATTACGCTATCTTCAATTTGACCTT